CAGGGTTGCCAGTTTCACTCATAACACATCTCAAAAAAAAATGTAAAGCACGGTGCACCAGAGGGGTACTGGCAATATGGCCAGTGCATCAACCAGCCATGGTTTCATAAGGCTACCACCGAAAAATACCTGTGTTTTTTGTCTTTGATGGAAAAATCCGGGTTTTTAGGGTAGCTACTGTGGATGGACGAAATCCTGCACCACCTAAGAAACCCTGGAATGATGACTCCCCTGTACATACTTGCAGCTGGTGCAGGATTTTCTCCATCCACAGTAGCAATCGGGTTTCCAGGGTCTCCTGCTTGGGGATGGCTGGTCCTTGGCACCCGCGACGCCCGCGACGCCATCCCGCGCCGCCCGCGATCTCGCGCCTCTGTGGCGGAGAGGTTGGGGCCTCGGCCCTGCAGGAAGCTCGAGGCCCCCGGGATGCCCACGGTCTGGCGGAGTCGTTGATCGTTTGGAAACCGCGGACGCGGATCTGGGGCGTTCGGAGGGTTCTTGGTTGCTGCAACGACCCTCCTGCAAAAAGTGAGCTCAACTTTTTTGGGGGATTAGTGGGAAACCCAACTTGATTGCCCGAAAAAGTTAAAGTCTAAAGATCCAACCCAGTAGCAGTCAAGGGTTTGGGTCCTGCTGTTTTGGTCGGCGGCTCGGAAGAACTTTGAAGCGATTTTGTGCAAGGCGAGCTCCTGAAGAGGAAAAGAGGTGGATAAGGGAAGGAGCGCTTTCGGAAGATTGCCTGTGGCAAATCGCTGCACCCCTCACTTCTCAAGTTGACTGGCCAAAAAAAGTTTGATCTTTTTATTTACCACTAAAATGGTCTTTCCAAAAAGTTTAAAGTCCACCAACTCAGGAAGTGAGACCCTCTTGGCATTCCACCAAGAAAGAAGTTTGGAAAGGATTGGCCATGGACAAGGGCCATTTTCCAGAAAGAGACCAACCGACTTTTTTCCAACATGGCGTGCGAAGCTGCTTTCGGCCTCGTTCAAGCAGCTCAAATCCGAGAAGAAGCGGAGACTGCTCACCTTGGGCAAAAAGTCGAGCAGTTTTTCACATCCGTTTGTTGAGTTGCCATCCGAATTCTTTCAACAGCCCCGGTTCTCAGAAAGATAAACTCAGTTGCCCAAAGGACCTGGAACCAAAAGGTTAACCTTTTGGGGCCATGACTCAAAATGGACCAAAATTGAAAACCAAAAGGTCAAAAGGTCGATTCGCTTTGAACAACTGAGTAAAGGCCTTGGAAGTGCAAGGGGCCCCAAGAAACCTTCAAGGCACGCGGTTCGACCCTTGGAACTTTGCAGAGGTTTCACCCGAGACCTTTGCTCATGAACATGCCCCGAACCTCAGTTGCCCCGGAGGGAGATCACCTTTTGGGGGGCCTTTTCCAAAAGTAGACCAACAAGGGAAAACCAAAAGGTTGAAAGGCAGAGCGCTCCCTTTCAGTACCCAATACCGAATACCCCCCGGGTTGGGCGAGCTTGGGGCTTCCAAAACAACGGACGGCCGATGCCAAGGCTCGACCTTCAGAAACCGACTCAAAGGCCCACGTCCGGCATCATTTGCATCTGTGCCCCAAATGTGCATCGGTGCTTCGGGGAAATAAGCAACTTGCAAAATCTAGGCGGAGACTATGCCACTCTGAATGCCTTTCCCTTGGTCAGGACGCCCGAAACGAAACCAACATGACTCAACATGGCTCAACCACAAAACCCGGGCCAGACACAATAAATTCGAGGATTTCCCTGTTCCCTTGCAATATCCAGGGTATCCGTATTGCAGAAAGTAGATACCTACGTTGACCTCCATTTGCCCAAGGTCCCTGGAAGAAAGGATTTCCAATTGTGATAGATCCCCTCAACCAACGGGCCTAGATAGCCAAGTTGCTGCGATTGGGGTAAAGTTCATGGAAATCAAACGGCAACCGTCGGGGGGGGGAGGGGGGAATAACCAAAAAACAGCCAATTGTGCAAATGGAAGTTGAGGTCCACGTACTTTGCCGGAGCTGGACATGTACCTCTGCAGGCTGAGGGCCCCGGCCCGCCATCCCCAGCGGGTGGGCCTCGGATTCGGAGAGCCAAAAGGCGCGGCAACCCGTGGCCAAATGGCCCGAGAACGAAACGGCGCTGTGTTTGCCTTCGGGCGAGCGAGCCTCAGGAAAAAGACCCACCTAGATAGCCAAGTTGCTGCTTTTTTCAGTCACTGTTGCTGGTTTTTAGGATAAAGTTCATGGAAAAAAGCAGCAACTGGCGATCCAGGCACCCTTGTGGGGTGTGTGCCTTTCTTCGAGTGCCCCTTTTTGGGGTGGTTTTGAATGAAAGCAAAAACGGACACCATCTGAAAAATCCCGCCCGGTTCCGGACCCTCTGGTGGACATCCAAATTCGGGGGGGATTCATGCAACCACTTTGGAGGTGGGTCCAACTCTTCAAATCGCCCATATGGATCATATGGGTCTGTCTTGTTTTCAGGGTATACTTTCTTGTTTTTTTTCGTGGTTGCCAAGGGAAAACCCAAAGGAACACCCACCCATTGTGGGAGGTCCGATTCCTAAACAACTGACTCACCCATATGGCTGTAGCTCAAAAAAGCCGGAATTCCAAAATGGCTTGCCCTGGGTGGAATCATGGGTACCAAAACCTGCGGCTTGCCCCTCCGATCGGTTCATTTTGATTGCCACACCCATATAGCAGACGCGTCCCCATCCGCTCCTGGCAGCTCTGAAAGCCGCCCGGTTTGGGTACCTCCAGCTGAACTATAGCTTCACTGGCGTTAAGGCCAAACGGATCCCCGCCCCGCGCAAAAGTGTTTCTTCTGTTTTTTTTTCTTCCTAAAACGGAAAATGGAGTAAAAGCTAAAAGGGCCAAAGGTTTAGAGCTCCCTCCGCCCGCCAACTTGGTCTTCCCGCCCCACGTCTGCCCTTTTCCGCCCGTCCAAAACCGCCCCCCCGGGGCCCCGCGCCGCGCGAGGAGGCGCCAGGCCACACGAAACCCGAAGCTTCCGAGACCTTCGAAGGTGGACCTCACAACCGCGGCTTCCACAAAACCCGCGGCTTGCGGCTGCCCGGCCCGAAGGCTCGTATAATAAGAACCTGGATCGCCAGGCAAGCGATCGCTTTTTGCCATGAACTTTGTCCTAAAAACCGATCGCAACAGTGGCTGAAAAAAGCGATCGCAACTTGGCTATCTAGGAATACCAAAACAAAAACGCGACTTGGTCTAAAAAACCAATGTCTGGGGGGGGGGGGAAACCCATCGGCTCTCCAATCATGGCAAATAAAAACACGCCTTTTTGGTAAAGGGTTGCAGGCTATATTTGCAAGTGAGGGAGGCCTCTGCGGCATTCCAAGACCGGACGTTTTCAGAGATGGGTTGGCTGGGGGAAGGGGGGATTTGACCGTTTGGATTCGCCGCAGTTCGGCATAGTTGCCTTCCCCGAAAGGAGGGGAACAAGAATTGTCTGCACAAGTTGCAAATCCAACACCACGTAGACAAATCCTTCATGATTGCCTTAGGTATCATCTCAGCATCCAACTTGAGCAAGACATGGATCAAACAAAGGACCATTATGATGGCTTTGGCCCCTGAATCGGCGGAATCGCTGGAAACGCATATGAAGGGGGGTATAGCCTAGCCTTTGGGTGGCCTGGGGCAGGTACCCTATCACGGACAGCAAGGCAGTTGAAACTTCATCGAAGCAACCCATAATATAAGCAACTTCCGGACCATCTGAGCCAACCCCCCCCACTGTGAAGCAAGGAGAAACCGACAAATTGTGGGGTCCATAATGCCATATCCTCTCCGATGACATATGTATATTGATGTATATTGTATATCTGCATATATATGTATAGATACCTATATATGGTGTTGAGAAAGGATTATGTTTTGGGCGACCAAAAAAAACAGCCCGCCAAACCTCCCAAGGATTGCCCAGCCCCACTCGCTCCGGGATCCCTGCACGGGGTAAGGGTACGAGTAGATCCCGCCTGCGATGGACCCAGCGGGGATCTCAGCCATCGGATGCGTTTCCCGGAAAACATGAGAACCTGGAGTCTCCTTCTGACCCTTAAAAAATGGGGTCACTACCCAACATATAGGGGTCATGGACCCATTTTCAAGGGTCTGGAGACTAAAGTTAACATCTTTCCAGTGAGAGTGACTCCCTCTGAAGCGCAACAAGGGGAAATAACACATATCAGCAAATGGATCTCGGAATTTCCCAGACCCCAGCTAGCCATGGGGAACATCGCCTTTCTCGCTTTGTTGCTTTAAGGGACCCCTCCCCCACCGGAGAAAAACCAAGAAAAGAGGAAGAAGCCGAGAGCCAAGGACACGCCCCACCTCTGGGATTTGGGTTTGGATCGAACCCGGCCACGCTCGACCGCGAAGGCGCGTTTTTGGCGGCTCGCGCTTGCCGCGAGCTGGACACCCCAATGGACCTGAGCGGTTTGGCATCTAGTGTCAGCGCACGAACTATACCCCCTACTCCAAATAACCGTTTTTTTCATGGTATTTTGGGAAAAGCTGGTTTTCCATGGTATATACTTCCTTTTTTAGTAGGGGGTCGACATGATACCCTGAAAAAAGAGGGTATTTGGTGTAGGCGGTATGGGTCAGAAAATAGGCTAACCCCAGCATGGAACCCTGGTAAATGGCAACAAAGACTCAAACCAACGTGTTTTTTTGGTTTTTCGAACCAAATCCTGGATCTTCCAGGCAACTTGACCCAAATCTTGAGTCTTCCAGGACCCTGACCAAACAGTTGCCTTTGGCTGATTTTCCATTTGAAACCAAAAGCAAACAACCCAGGGTCCGTTCTGCGGGTTTCCGTGCGTGGAACACACAAGAACATGTTCCCAGTACTATAGATTCCTTTTAAAGCCGACAGGAAAAAACAGGATTTCGCAGGTCATGTTGCGACCGGGGTTACCTACCGGGGTTCCTCGCAGCAAATCCATCGCCCTGACAACACCCGGCCGAGTCCGTCCGGATGGGCCCCGGGCGCTGTCTTAGAGAGCCCTTCCTTCCGCTAGCACCCGGCGCCCCTGTGCAAAGCTGTGCACCGGCCGCAGGGCCTAAGGCGTTTGCGACTCGCGACGTTTCATGCGAACTTTCCTTACAAGCAGGTTGTTCCCCCCCCAAAAAATACGTATGGGCTGAATTCCCTTTTAACTTTTGGGTGCGAAAGATCCGGGGATTGGACAAATTGAACAAATCCCTTCCCCTGTTGGCTTGCCTTTGGGTAATGTTGACAAAACTTTTGGAGCCCAACTTGGCACCCAAGGATTGTTCAACCTGCAAAGCCGGATTTGCCAAACAAGTACACTAAAAACCCGGCACGGTATTTTTTCGGGAGGGGGCGAGAGGAGGAAGTTACTTGGATGTCCGTTGCCAAGTTAGTACGTGAAAAACACCACTTGCATGTGTTCACCCACTACCAGGTTAATCTCACATTCACGGGAGGCTTTTGCTTACGTGGGTCTTTCCCTAGGTTCCCGGTACACTGACTAACTTAGCTCTTCAGACCCAGGTAATCCCTGTTGTTGGCATGTTGTTTGCTCGTTTGGCTCTTGAACCTGCCTGAACCCCATCACCCAAGTCCACTGGTAAGCACGCTCTTGATGCAGATATGCTGGTTCATAAATCGCGGGGTTTTCGAACTGCTGTTTTGGTTCCATCAACTTCGCAAGGACAACAACTACCATCCCTACTCGGACTCCGAATATTTACTTATTTTAGGGTATCGTGTCAACCCTCTACCAAAAAGGAGCAACAATACTTTGCAGAAGCCAGGCTTTCCAACCAAGACTCGAAACAAGGCGGGGTATTTGGCTGTGGGTCAAAACCAAATGGGATCCCATTTTGGGGTAGGTGAATTCATCACCCATTTTAGTCCACCATGGATTGGGATGCTCACTGGGGGCTAACCGATTTGGATTTTGACCCATGGCCATTTGGAGGGCCCCGCCAGGCTCCAAAGCTTTCCCCGCCTGGCAGGGCCCCGCCAACATGGCTTCCGCCGGCGGCAGCGCTGACCTCGATTGCTTGGTTGACGTTGGAAGGGGCCCATGTTAGCAGTTAAGTGGTTGGATTTCAACCACTAAACCACCACAAGCAAAAATGTAAATTGTTTCCCAACAACAACCCTGATTGGTTCATTTTCCGATTCCCAGACAAAGGGAAACCAGGAGCCCTAACCATGGCCTAATTGTATCAAGACTTATGGGGTCCCCACTGGGGGGGAGGTGTTGAACAAGGGGGGGATTCCCGAAGGAACCCTAGGGTCGCTCAACCCAACCCCCCGTGTACCTACCCCCCCCCCCTTTTAGGGTTGCGTAGGCAACACCGAGGGAAACCATGGGAAGTTCTGCATTTGCCCCCAGAAGATTGTGAACACCACATATGACTCCTTGACATCTGAGGAAATGTGCAGGGGAATTGCTGCCTTTTTCCAACCAAGGCCCACCAAGGGAAGTTGGAACAGTAGCCACCAGGAAAAGGCCTCGGAAGGGCGCATTCCCCCGATCCTAAGGTTCTCTTAAAATGGGAACTGGTTCTCAGTCGCCCAAAGGACCTGGAACCAAAAGGTGATCACCTTTTGGGGCCATGACTCAAAATGGACCAAAGTTGGAAAACCAAAGGGTCAAAAGGTCGATTCGCTTTGAACAACTGAGGATTGCAGCGGCCCCCTAGGGTGGTTGGCAACCGGCGGTTTGGAGGTGAGCTTGGCAACTGCTGGATTGGAGGTGAGGCTGGGCATTTACCCTCAACAAGAACCAGAAATATGGTTCAAATCCAAATCCAAAGCACCAACTAGCGGGTGCTGCGGAGGATTGAGGGAAAAACAGGAGAACCAAAAAAAAGAAAGCACACCCGCCGTCACGGGATGTCCGGGAAGCCGAGCAACTCCTGGTCTAGGTCCCTCACGTTCATAGTGTATGCCCCCTCCTTTTCACCCAAATCGGTCTGTGGGACCCTCCAAAAAAAACGGTCTGTGGGGCCCTTAAAAAAAGAATAAGGGAAAAAAACAAAACGGCCTGTGGAAGAAGAAGAAAACAAACTGAAGCCGAGGTCCATGAGCCATGGGACTTGTGTGCCCTGTTTCGAGGGAGTCCGGACTGTTGGGGGCCGATTGAACTCATCTGCCGATTGAACTTTGCGATTCCAAAACCTCCTCTTGCTTAAGTCGCCTGGACATATTAGACACAAGTCCAGTGGTGAAATCGACTCCCTTTGAAACCACCAGGAGATTCGTACAAAATGTGCTTCAGAATTCTGCAAGTGGAAGGGATCTCTTTGTGGAACCTCCATCCTTTCGTGCTACTGCCAGGTGGGACCGCTCGTTGCGCCCCCATAACCACCTACCCACTTTCTTCAGGCTAGGATTTCTCAACCCTTGACAATAGGATGAAGGCGTCCACCCGAGTTTCACCCGGCTTGGCAAAAAATGCCACAACTAACACGCCGGGCAGTTGGAGCAGGCGGAGGGCAGGTTGCAACCAGCCACCTCCCGAGACAAGCGACCAGTCTAGCTGTACTCTCCCCATTCTCTTCAGGGATCCTTCTCTTCAAAAAATGGGCAAACAAATCAAACGCCTGGAAAGTAAGTGGTTTCTAAAGAGAACGATGGGTGAAGAGAAGCTTTTCGGACTGAACCTCAGAACCAGCGGATCCCCGGCGCTTTTCGGTTTGAACCCCGGGGCGCCCGGGCGGCCGGGCGGCAGAAAGATCCCAGAGCGTGACAGTGGCCACCTGAGCACTGCGAAACCCGGACAGGCCCCTTGCCTTCTAGGTCCTCCAGTAGTTTGAGGTTGGAATAAGGGTATACCATTTTTTTCTTTTTTGTCTATTTTAGTAGGGGAACCCTCCCAACCAACAAAGTTGGTAAAAGGGCACTACTGGGGGACCTAGCCTTTGACCCAAAAACGGTGATGTTTGAAACCACAAAGTAAGGGAACCCCTGCCGGATGAGCCGCAGAAGCCCTGGTTGATAGGGGGGTGCCTTTTCATATCTGTTCATAATGGCTTTTAGCCGGGCTCCTAATTTTCAGCGAGTTGGCTCTGGATCTCATGCACATATAATGTTCAGTCGCTCCGCAGGTTTTCCACCAAGGGACCGAACCCTTATTCCATGTGCATGCTGAACGATATGGTGATAGGGGAAACCCTCAAAAGTAGTCCTCAGATCCCCTGCTACAAGTGGAAAGCTTTTAGTGGGTTAGATTGAAACTACCGCAAAACCAACTAAAAAGATGGCACAGAACCAGCAAGCGATGATGTCCAGCCTCCCGTGTCCGGGACCCATTAAAAATCATACCCGTACCCCCGTAACCACCCCAATACTCGTTCTTTTTCTCGGGTATTATATCGACCCTTTACTACAAAAAAAAAAAAAAACGTGGATTCAAGCGATCGGTGTCCAAAACGATACCAACTGAGAAAAGGCCGGGTATTGGGCGGTTACGGGGGTAGCGATCAAACCCTACGTGAAGCAAACGGCCTTGGGGTCTGGATGGGTTTTCTTGCTGGGGTTTGGACCGACTAATTCCAACCAAAAAGTTGAACAAGATCCATCCCCGAGAAAATGGGTCCACTACCTGGACCCGAAAGAGCTACCCTCAGAAAAGGAAATCCGCCTCACAATCGTAGGGCAATGGCAATACCCACTTTTGAAGGGCAGGTTGAATGTCCAGTTATCTATCTTACCCCTTTTACTCTTGGTATGGTAGCACAACACTTTGTTTTTTGCAGACCCCCAGTAAAAATGAACAGAACCAAAAAACTCAAAATCACAAAAACATGCCAAGAACAGTGAAGTTACGTAGAAAAAACACTCTTCCACCTTATAGCTTCTATTTTGCCTTCCACCTAGCTCGAGGACTACGCGGACCTCAAACACGACCCATGCCCCACAATGCTTGGTGTCACCAGCCACAATTATGGGGCAAGAACTTGTTTTGTTCAATGGGCCCGAAAGAACTACCTTAAAAAACAGACGTTTGCCCCACAATCTTAGGGGAATAACCAATTTTTAGGGTGGAAAGACGGCTCATGTGTTTGTTCCTTTAAAAAAAAGTTCTTGCCCCACAAGCATGGTTCTTGTGTCACCAACCACAATGGGGCAAGAAATGGGTTTGATGACGTAGCATCTTTGGGCTCTTTCGGCGCCGCCCTGGGACCGAAACGAAGCGAGCGGAGGCCACTGACGCCTCGCTTTCAGTCGAATTCCTTGGGTGAAAACAGGAAAAAGGAAACACGCAGCTTGCAAGGGTGGTCCATTTGCACCGGCAGTGCCCATAGGGCCCAGTTTGGGCTGTTTGGGAAACCATTTGGGGGGTTGGTATTTTGTCTTGAGGTTCCATTTTTTGGCGGTGTTCAAGGCAAACCAAAACGAACAAAGACCCATTTGTCGGGAGGGGAACCCCTTGAGTAAGGAACAATTCAGCAGACTTTGCCACTTAGAACCACGGCTTGGCTGTGTCATTGGATCTAAAAAGCCGCCAAACGAACACTGGCTTCTTGCCGTGCGCAAAAAGCCAAAGAAGAAGACGGAGACATGAGACACCACAGACACCACAACAACTCTAAGGGTAGCTTCCTAGAAAACCACCAAGAACCCTGGGAAAACGCATCTGGTTATTGAAAAGAGCGATGGTTGAAAAGAATGGCAAAGGAATCAACCCCTAGAACAAAACCCTTCTTGCCCACAAATCGCCATGGAACATCTTTGAGCTCCCTCAGCTCAGCCCCGGGGACCCGCACACTGCCCACCTCGATGAGGCCATCCTCGACGCCCGTGACCTTCTCACCTGTCGACGGGAAGTGGCAAGCGGCGACGAGTTCGGTGAGCACGTGAAAGGGCGATCGATGCAGGGTACGTCAGGTCAGTGCGTAATCGCCATATGGCTATAACCAAAAGAAATGGTGACTTATCAAAATACTACGTACTGCTTGTTTTTTTTTGGCTTTGAGGTACACCAGTACCCCCTTCTTGGCGATAAGTCTCCGTTAGGTGGGTTACAGCCAGGCTTACCAACCACTTACTAAGCACCCTGCCCCTTTAGGGAGACTAGGGAGAAACCACTTATATAGCCATTGCCAATATATGTATATATGTGCCAAAGATTCAGTGTGCCCAACTGACGTGGGAATTTGGTGAGTAGTAAAAGCCCAGTTTCTATTGGCATCTCGGTAATCTCGGTGAGTGTACCCAATGTTACAGTATCTCCTCCACATGACAGTAAATATCGACCGTGGCCCCCAATTGAACCATAAGGGTGTGGCTCAGAGCGGGCATTGGCCACAAGAGCCGCGTTGTCCCTTCGAAACCCCGAAGAAAGCACCCACAAGGGCACCAACTCAGGGTTGACTAGGGGTTAGCAGCTGATGAGGGCACTACGGATACATGTTTGTCATACCCTTTATCAAGGGGTTGATTCCAACCATTCTGTTGAGCCCATAACACCTGCTGTATTCCCAACGTTTTTTGATGTCTTCCTGAAAAGCAGGGCTTCCTGCCTGAAATTTCGGGAACAAGGCTGGAGCAAAGGAGATAACAAGGGACCACCCCGCCCCTCACGTTCACACCCACCTAGCTGGGGGGACCTAGACATGCATAGGCGTCCTTTTCGGGGAAATAGATGGCCCTGGTAGATGATTAAACCACAAACCAGGAATTGGCCCTCTATTTTTCTACCAAAACAACCAAAAAGGACCTACTGTGGATGGACGAAATCCTGCACCACCTAATACCTAATGCACCCAGGAATGATGATTCCCCTGTAAATATCAATGCACAATGGTTTCAACCATGGTTTCCAAGTGCTGCGAGAAGCGGATTTCGTCCACCCTATGTAGACATGCCCCAGCCCCACTTTCCCCCGGCCTGGCAGCAGCAAGAGGCCTTCGCCCTCGATGACGCCCCACCCTTTCGGCGCCAGCAGATGCCGCGCCGCCGCTAGGAGGTCCACGTGGCCCGTGGCACCTGGCGTCGTTGCCCCACCTTGAGGGAGCCTTTGCTGGGCCATCCGCGGTCTGATCCCCTGCTAAAAGTCAACAACTTTTAGTGAGTTACATGGCAACTGCCCCCCCCCCACACCCCCCCACACCCCCACCCCCACACAGAGCTAAAAGCCTGAAAAGCTAAGGGGATGGCTGAGAACCACCAAGTTTTGTTGGCCATGGATTGATCTTGCTGGTGCTCAGCAGGGAATGAGAATTGGAATGACCCCTATAACCCATCCAACTGGTGGTTTCATTGCAGGGGACCCCCAAACGGTTCGTTCCCTTAGAGCTGAGCACCAGCAAGTTGATGTTGTGAGGATGGTCACCCGAGCCACAAGAAGCAATGCGCTGAGTCAAATAGATGACACGGCAAAAACATTGGTTGCTGCAACGACCCCCCTGCAAAAAGTGAGCTTCACTTTTTTTGGGTTTAGTTCGGAAAACACAACTTGATTTCAACCAAAAAGTTAAAGTCTAAAGATCCAACCCAACATAACCCAATAGCAGTCAAGAAACCCTTGGTCATTCCCTACTGGGCACCAGGAAGGACAAGCAGCGCCGGGATCTGCAAGAAAACTAATGCATTGATGACGCGGTTTGGCGTCTGATAAAGTCTCGCTGAATCAAACTCAATGGCGGAGCTCCATTTCCTCCAAAGTACCTAAACCGAGACTGAAACGACCCATAGATATTCTGGAAAACGGGTTGGAGGTGGCTCTTACGGATCCACCCCGGTGAAACCTTTGCTGCTCAAAAATGTGTTTTAGGTCCAGGAACTTCGGCCTCAATTTGCTGGTGCGCCCCCCGGAAAAATGCGATAATATGTCCAGTAGTGAAATCGATTCCCTTTAAAACCAACGGGGAAAAATAATTCAACCCCTAGAGTTGTTCAAAACCTCGCTGTTCTTAGATCAACTTGTTTTCCCCGTGTTTTTTTTTTTTTTTTTTTTTTTGGGGGGGGGGGTTGTGTTTGTTGATGTATTTTTTAGGTTGGGGGGGGGTTGCAAACAACAGTGTTTTTTTGCAAGCCCATACCGTTTGGGTTGTGAAGTAAGCCCCGGATTAAGCCCCCCCCTAACGGTTGTGTGCCCCCCTTTTACTGAGGGACATCCAAGCCAATTGACATGGATGGGTTCTCGAAGGCTCACTCCCTACGTCCATTTGCTGAAGAACTTCTGTTCAACCATCGTTCTGTTCAAAAACCAGCCATTTTCCCTGGGTTTCTGGAGGTTTTCTAGAAAGAAGGATTCCTGGAAGGAATGGAAAAGGTAGCCCTAGAGCAACGGTGTTCTTTTGGTTTCCCTTTACAATCGCCCAAAAGCACTGAAGAAACGGATCCGGTTCTTGAAAAGAACGATAGCTGAAAAGAATGGAAAAGGAATCAACCCCTAGAGTAATTCAGAAAAGAAGGATTCCTGGAAGGAATGGAAATGGAAGGTAGCCCTAGAATTCCTCCGATTTTCCCCCAGCGTCTTGCGCTCCCTTTAAAGAAGAGCCCCGCCTAGCAACACATCCGCCTGCCGCCAGCCGGAGGCTGACAGGTCGTCCAGCAAGGTGACGCCCCGCAACAGCCAGGGGCCCTCCTGGCCCAGGAAGGTGATCACCTTTGGGGACCTTTACTAAAAGTGGGCCGTCCGTTTTCAGATCTGCTAAAAGTTGAAAACTTGTGTGGACACCCAACCACCAAACCAACTAAAAAGCTTTAAACAAATAGCGGTGACCGAAAACGCACTTCCTGAGTGCATGGGCCAGAAAAAGTCTAAGCTTTATGTTTACCACGAAAATGGTCTTCCCACTTTGCAGATGTCCAGGAAAACACAAGCAGCTTCAAAGGAAAAAAAAACATCACAAATTTCGAGGTGCACTGGGACCATACCCTCTGGTTGCCAAAACTGGGCTGCCTGTTTTCAGATCCCCTGCTACAAGCTGAAAACTTGTGGGTTAAACTTGGACAACCACGACGCCAACTGAAACGCTAAAAAGCTAAGGGGATGACTGGGAACCACCAAGTAAACAAACATAGCGGTTGCCCAACAGTAACAGGTGGAAAACCAAAGGTTAGATCCGGTCGAGTCGCTTTGGACAGGGGGAAGTCATGGAAACCCAAAGCCTTGAAAGGGCAGTTCAATCTGGCAAGGCTTCTTCTCGGCTTAATGCCAAGGCCTGCAGCATTTACTGGGATGGGGGGGGCCAACAGGAGACTAGAGAGAATTGGGTGCATCGTGTTTTGTGGTATTTGTTGGAGTTGATGTGATTTGAAACTTGTAAACGCTGTCTTATTTGATGGTGGTTGGTTGCCGGTGACCTCACTTTCTGCTAAATTATTTTCTCGTTGCGGGTTGATTGATACTTTTCTTGCTTGTGCGATAGGCAGTTGCCGCAACATGTTGAGCCGTCGGTGCCGTTGGGGAGCGTTGAATGCCCAAATTTTCAGACACCTGGTCAAAATCAACCAGGGGGTTCTTCAAACAGCAATGTTCCCACAGACCCAATGCATGATGCGATCCCAAAAGTCTAAAAGCGGATCCAAAAGGGAAAAACCAAAAGGTTGACTCACCCCAAGATCACTTCATTTGAGACGCAATCGCAATCCCATGGTTTTTTGCCAGCCCCTCCCGCCCCCGCCTTTCGCTCCCCGCCAGGGCTGTGAGAAATGGAACCCACTTCTGTGATACAATTTTCGGCCTCCCAAAGACCCACCCCCCCCAGAAGAGGGGATTCCCAAACTTGTATCACAGAAGTGGTTGGAGAAACCGCGAGTCAACCACCACCCTGCGACCCCCGCCTTCCGCCTCCGCCTCAGCGCCGCGGCCGCGGCCGCGAAGGCGCCCAGCGCCCCCAGCGCCGCGACGGATGCGACGGCCAGCGCCCGCGGGCAAGGGGGCCGCATCGAGGGCCGCATCCATGAGCGGGCGATGCTGTTGCAGGGCTGCCCCCGTAACCTCCAAATACCCGGCCTTTCTTTTTTCAGCTGGTCTCATGTCGAGCCTCTACCAAAAAAGGAGGTATATTTACCATGGAAAGCCAGGGGCGGAAGCTCAGGGCGGCTGGAAAAACAGCGAGGTCCTCCAGTAGTTTGAGGCCAGAACAAGTTGGTGCCCAACTTTTTTCTTTTTTGTCGATTTGGCAGAACCCTCCCCACCAAAAAATGGGGTAGAAGGAAAGGGCACCTAGCTGGGGGACCAAGCTGGACAGGGAGTCATGACCAAACTGTCATAGGGTCTGCAGGACCGGGGACCCAAGATACTGGATTTGTTTTTCCCAAAGAGAAACATCTCTACTCTTGGTGTGGGCTGGCGGAAAAAACTGACTGTTTTTTGCAGGGCCCCCCAGTAAAAATGAACAGAGCCAAAAAAAAACGAAAAAGAAAAAGAAATGAGGCTCACCCCAAAATGTTGAACCCAGCGACTAAAGCAAAGTGCTTGAAAGGCTTTTCGTTTTTTTACTGGCCCAGTTTCTTGACCTGAACCCGTTTCAAAGTTGCTGGGTATGAGGTATTGCCAAAGCAAAGGGCTTCTCCCCATTGGGTTTCGAGCATTGGTTCACGTACCAAGACAAGTCACAAGTGGTCCTTGATGCTTCCCTTTGCAGAACACCCTCTATTTGCCGAGTCTGGAAAAAACATATTGCCAGTTGTGATAGGTACCCTGGAAAGCCAACAGGGGAAATGAACAAATCGTCTTGCGCAATTGGACCTTGGTCTTCCCCTTCCCTTTGCTGAACTGTCCATCCAGAACTTGCAGGAGTCGCTGTCCTCGAATTGCAACATCCGACGGAGCTTCGCAGAACATCCGGAGCTTCGCAGCACTGCCAGCGTTGCGTTAAGGCTTAGGTGTGTTTTGTTGCTCGATGCCCTTTGTCGGGTTGGTTTAAAGGAGCCATGTTTCTGACCGTGCCAGGCATCCCTCTCTTCCAAAAGTAAAATCCCTTGGAAGATGTGGTGGTTTCTAAAAAAGAACCATGGGTGAAGAGACTGGGGAATCAACCAAAAAGGAATTTTGCCGGGGCTATGCTCGACAAACGCATCGGATGATCATGGCAGCGCCGCGGCAAACAAGGCAGCGTGAGGCTGATGAGCCAAGCTCAGGCGGCGCGGCCGCTTGAACACCACACCCAACCCCCAACGACGCGCAAGCCGATTGGAAAGAAAGATCCTTTCAGAATCTGACCTGCAGAATTGCAAGCATATGTGTATGTAGCATATATATATATATATGATATGCGTTGAACAGTTAATTTGTCTGCTCTCTTCCTGGTCAAAAGTCTACAGGCTTTGTTTGCCACTGACATGGTCTTCCCAAAAAGTATCACAACCAGCAACGCAAAAAGTGAGGTCATTACGTGCAACCAACCACCATTAAATGGCATACAAGCGTTCACAGGTTTCAGATCACATCGGCCTCGTCAGAAACGCGCGATTCTTTGTTTTTTCAGGCTCTGTGACGTGGATTCCGCACAAGATTCCCTCTCAATCCTGGTTTGGGCGATTTTGGGGATGCCATGTCTGTGTTACGCATAGGACAGAATATTAAAAGGGTACAACACGATTGCCTACTAATAAATTGAACTAACAACGGGAAGAACCGGTGAAATCCACCAAAGCCACATCCAAACCGGCTGCGGCCATATGGCCACTGATCTTTTGGAGGCCAACCCTTGGCAGGCTCAAGCGTTGGAGAGCCCCTTTCAGGTTCCTTACCCCCTGCACCGGCCTTCTTTCAGGGTATGATGTCGACCCTCTACTAAAAAAGGGATCGGCATTTACCTTGGAAAAGCTTTTTCGGTTTTCCCCCAAAACTGCAAACTGAGAAAAGCGTTGGTCTTTGGACGTTACGGGGGTAGGGTTCCCTACCACCCCGAATGGGACTCCATGAAAAACCTTGCCTTCTTGCCAAGCACCATGAAGCGCCCTCCCCATTTTCAGGAAATCACAAAGCCAGGTTGGAAACAGCGGGTTTTTGAGCATGATGGTTGAAAAGAATGGAAAGGGAATGAATCCCCCCTCTACTAAAAATGAAGGGAGCAACCTGCCCTGCAAAAAGTGAAGAAGACACCTGGCTAGTGGAGTCCATGGGTTTTGGGTGCATGATTGGTGTCTTTATCCGCATTTTTCCCCAAAGCGTATTGAATAATTTCGAGTTCGCCCCCTGCTGTTGTTGTGCTTGTTAGTTTACCGGCATCCCCCAGCTAAGACCCTCCCATTTTGTCAGGGCCGCCAGTTAACGTCGTGGGGAAGGGTCCCTTCTTCCATCGGGGGGCTGACGATGGGAATGTCGTTGTGTTCAGGGTTCCCTTGAAAGGAAAAAAGGAAGCCCAAGGAGACCGCCCAAGTCCTAAAAAAGACAACTCCAATTGATTCTCGGCTTGTTTTTTGGCGCGGGGGGGGGGAGGGTTCCCCCACGGAAATTCCGAAGACCTACACCGATGGCCCGACGTTTTTCATTCGGCCGAAGGTCGTCGCCTGGGCCGGGGAGACGGAGGTCTTCCCAGGCCGCCGCCGTCGCCTCCTAGCGCAACAAACCGACTGATCCACAGCGGCGGGGATTCTCTCCCTTTCAGCTTCCCACCACGGAGCCGACGACGCAAAAAGTGGAAGAAAAAAACACTCCCCCTGACTAACATGGAAAGGCTCCACGCCGAAATGGAAGACTTGGTTCCATTTACAAATGCCTGCTGGGACCTTCCATGTTAGTCTGACGCAGTCCAAGCGAAACCTGGCAATGCTGCTTGGTGGAGCTCGGTGGTTTGGACAGGTTGGGTGCTGGCGCACCTCCGAAGGCAGTGCCAGGGAGCAGCTCTCACGCACACGTCGCGCCACGAAGCGCAAGCCAACATGTAGAGCTCATAATATGCCCCAAGGCGAGGAGCAACCCCTGGTGGATAAGTATAACCCAACGATCCTCAAATCGACCCTTGACAATGGGGTTGCACCCTAAAACATGATGGGTGCTGGCCCTTTTTGAGGGTAATGTGTCTCTTCGGATCCAGGTAGTCAGGTGTCGAGTGAACATGTCTTGGTACCATAAAAGTACACCCACCGAAAACAAGACATGGACCAAGAAAGGAGTCTCTGGGTGATATAACCTCAATATCACTCCGAAATGCGGGAACGCCCAGAATGTACCTGTTTGGTTGCAGCTAGAAATGTAGCATCTCACTCAACAGGGGTCACCGGAATTCCCCAAACAAGTTGATCAAACTTCGGGTGGTGTCCATTGAAAAGATCGATTCACTTAAGGTTCCCTAGAGCGAGATGGCTCGGAAACTCTCAAGGCAAATCTCTCTCTCCGGAAGCCACCTGGTCATCGCTGCGGATACACGAAATCCGGATATCTTGCACCACGAAAGGATTTGCCACGGAGTTGAAATCATAACGTTCATGGTGTTTATTTAGTGAATCGAATCACAAACCCAGGGTTTCTGAGCGGTGGTGCGAGAATCGGATTTCGCAACCGCACACGGTAGGTGCCGTTGTTTTTTGTTGTTTGAAAATTAGATGGCGGTAGATGACAGGACCAGGTAAACCAGGAACCGCCCTCGATTTTTCAACCAAACCAACCAAGAAGGACACCCACGCGCCTGGTGCTAGAATCTGGGGATGGGAATCGTGTTTCACTTCGCTCGCCAACCGTTTGTTTGGGCGCTGGCCATGCCATGTCCTTGGTATCCGCTCCATGTGGGCAAATAGGATGCCCACCCACCAATCGGCGCTTCCTCAAAGCTTTCCCTCAGGAAAAGGCATTGCCCAAACGCAGCGGAATGTAAGGGACCTTCCGTAGCAGGAAAGGAACCCTCAAGGGAGCAAGTAGTTTCAGGTCAGCTCCTTTTACCCCAATTCACGTAGCGCCCTGCGCAAAGTCTCTTACTTGGGAGGAAATCCGCTCAAATCCCAAAATCTCCGACCGAGTCAAGACGCCTGTATCAAGATCAGAACCCAACCAACAAACAAAAAACGAGGGGGGGGGGGAGCAAAAAACAACAACAACACACCAAAAACGGGGGGGGGACAAAAAAAAGAAGGCCGCGAAACCGCCGGTGGTTTTGGGTTCCCCTCTCTGCCAAGAGCAGCCAAGGCTTTCGGAGGGAGCCCGCCTGCTTGTCAGCCACCAAGGCCTGAAGCACGTTGGGTGCGTGGGGCCGAAGCCCCCGACAAGGCACCTGCATGCGTTGGATTTTCTCTAAAAAAAAACACAATAAATAAAAATACATTGCATGCATGCATGTGCCCATGGTTCACGTACATACTGTGAATGGACGAAAACCATTTCGCACCACTTGAAACCCATGGGAAACGATTGTTTAATTGGCATCTACAGGAGAATCATCATATCCCAGGGTTTCTTATGTGGTGCAGGATTTCGTCCATCCAAGGAGCATGGGGCATGACATACAAAATGTTGTAACGTGTTGTAGCATGCCAATGAGGATGTAATGACATGGGGATGTACATGTCGTGTTTTAGCCATGCCAAGCACTGTATACTATTATATATATATATATATATATGTGTGTGTGTATACACCCCCGCTAGAGGCTCCAGATCAGGTTGAACCCCCCCCATTTTTTCAGATAAAATAGGGTTAGTCCATCCTTATTGGAAAATAAAAATGAAATAGTCCAACTTTGACAGGAAATACATTGACAAATCACGTTTTATTGTGACCTCATTTTTGGGGGTTGGTTTGAACAGCCCAAGTTGGACAAAACGTATTAGTCAAGGGGGGTCCAACTCATGTTTATTGTGCACACCCGCCTTTTCACAAAATAAAGTCGGGGCGGTGCAACTCGGAAGATCCGAAATGTAGCTGCCGCAGTCCAACATTTTCCGGGCCTTGAATGGATTTGAAAGCAAAAGGCACGGATTACCTCATGCTAATTTGAAATGAGTTCAGTCCAACTTTGAGGGGTTTTTCACAGAGGCCAAAATGAGCTTAATGAAAAAAGGGGGTTGGACTAGAATAAAATACATGATTTATTTTAGGGTCCAACCCACCCAACTTTGTTTTGAACCTGCACC